GTTGTGACATATCTTGTGACATTCTATGGAAATCATAATTCACATAAATAATCTACTATAATAGTACATCACAATCAAGTTTAGAAACTTTCGAATCTACAAATTAACAAAATTTTGTCGTGAATCCACGCATTTCTTCGTCTCAAGAGATCATTGAAGAAAAGGTGTACGCATACTGTCCTTATTCAAAAGTTTTCGGACAGTTATCGTATTTGCTTTTGAAAATTAAAAGAAGATCACACAGAACCGTTGTACATATGTAGGTAAAAACAATACAAAAGCTCGAGCTACATGCTTTAAAATAAATATAAATAAATAAAGTCTATTAATTTAAGAATTAAACAATACTGAAAAGTCTGAATACGGCGATGACAAAAGATGTTAAGACTCCAATGTTTCGTTACTCCACACTCGGTCATTTTGCAGGGATATCTGCCTGAATTTTTCACTTATTTGTTGATACATATTCACAACTCTGGACCCATAATTTCATATATTCTGCGGCTGTTGATGTTTGTCGAGGCCTCTCGTGTTCATCACCTTTCCGACAACGTATTTATCGTTGCATAGCACTTCAGTAACATAAGAGTTTATGTACAAACTTTAAGCCTGGCTCTAGCTGCGTTCGTTTCACGGCTACTAGATCTGCCTTTTAGTTATCCCGAATTTTCCCTAAGTCTTTGTCCTTCACTTGGGCTTTTTTTTTTTAGTAATGTAGAGTAATATGAATATACAATTCTAAGTACAGTATGACTTCTACTACTGCATTTATTCACATTTTCCCTTATTTTTTGTTTCTATTTTTATTTCTGTCAGAGTTTATTCGATTATTTATGGAATAAGAATAGGCGATAATATAATTGATGGGAAATGCATACATAGGTACGTTCAGAACGACGCCTCGAGATCATCTGCGAAACGTGGACCCAGAGTTCATTTGTTTAGTTGACGACAAAAGACAATCACACTCACACAATTTACATCATTCATCGATATATTCCAACAATTTTCTCTTTTTATTATAGACAGCAAAGTCTCACGACTGTTTATAATTTCTTCTTTATATTGTAAAATTATCTGGCCAGTACTATCTTTTTTTATCTTTAATTTGAACTCAAAATGTATAGACACAATGGAGAGATAAATTAATATGCTTTTTTTCATTAAAACTCTCTCTAGTAATTTCTGCTTGTTTTGTCTCAGAATCAGCAAAATCTATTAAATTCAATCGTGATACTTGTATCACAGCACTATCCGAATCTTCTCCAACTTCTCTACTTTCAATTGTCTGAATAGAAAATTTATATTAGAATGCTACATTTAAACGTAAATATAACATATAATAGTATGAGCACACAATTCTAAATATAATATGGAGCTCTACTACTGCATTCATTC